TTCTTCCAGGAATTTTGCCACGGCAGCAACCATTCCGTCGTCTGTCGAAGTTCTTGGACGCCCACTTCGTGGATCATCGGTGACTTCGAAATGACCAGCTTCGAATCGTTGAAACCACTTGAAGACCATGGTAGTGCCTGGAGCATCATCCCCGATGTTCTTCTTCATCTCTTCGAACGCCTGTTGCGGTTTCAAACCGCTCCGAAAATGGTAGAGGAGGATCGCTCGTTTTTGTTCCGCCGAAAATTTCACAGTCTCGCGAACATTCACAGTGCCGTCTCGCTTCTGACGGGTCTCCATCTTTCTGTACGGTATTAAAAATTCTAAAAAATTGTTGAAAGAGTTCAAGAGATATCAATTGAATGGGCCACAATCACTCATCACTCAATGGCGCCGGAAAATGTGAAAATCCGCGAACTTTCCGACCTCCCCACGTATTAGTTGTTAGCCTCGCAAAAATCAGATTAGTCCATGAATTGGTTAATGTTGACGGTATATCCTCATGTGAGAGGATGTTGTAGATGCCAATATAATGTTAGCCATTCCAACCACCCAGGCAAAAACGGGCAGCTAGAACTATCATGACTGGATAACATATATATGAAAGACATATTTTAGGAAAATAAATCCTTGGCATTTATTGGCAAACAAATTTTCGGAGAACAAGTTTCCAGGTTTGCGAAAAAATTCTAGCTAAAAAAATGAGTTTCATGATTGCCAAATTCATGTAAAAATCTGATTTTTCGCAAGGCTAACAACTAATAGAAAAGAAGTCACTCATCATCGCCTTCCCTCAAAGTAAATTTCATTTTCTTACTATGAAGTATTGATTTTATTTTCAAAGAACCATTACCTGGAAACTGACTACTACAAAGTGACACCTACGCCTGTCTTGAAGTTTCCAACGCTTTAGGTAATTACTCCACTAATCGGGGAATGAGAAAATCAGATATTTTATTATTTTTTAGTGCTACATGGACACCTCTTATTTAAATTAATGCGAATTTTTCTCAATTATTGAAACTTCATTTTTCGACTTATTTCCAGGATTCACGAATTTTGAACCACTGTGGCACCGAGTAAACGAATGGGAAGTTTCAGAAATCTAGCGTTCACTTTGTTTTTATGAAAAGTCAACGATCTAGGTAAGGACTATACGCATACAAAAAATTCTATTGAAACGTTTTCAAATGCCACTGGAATTCCTTACTGGTTTTGTTGCAGAGCGGGATGTCACAGTATTCCGATTCTATCATACCAGCGACGTTGACGTAGCACCAGGGCTTCTCTTTCAATAATAAATTCCGACAGTAATTTCTGTGGAAAGAAATCTTTGACGTCGGAAAACCCCTCCAGGTATTTAACATGATGAAATAGTCAAACATATTAGCAAATTTAAATGCGGCCTCCAATGGATTCACCTCCACCTCCACGATAGTTTCCACCCATGATAGACACACTTTTCCCGTTGATGTCTTCGCCTCCGTCCCAATGTATTCCCTCCCCTTCTCCGTCAGTAGGCACTGTGGATATACGTGCTTTCCCTCGCCTCCAGCTATAACGGTAAGCGGAATTGCTATTCATCCAGCTATTCATTCAAAAGAAATCTTTCTCTGTTCCTTGATAATTCAAAAATAATATTTCTCATGAACATTCAGAGTCGCTTCACTGCATGTTCGTCCTAGCCTGAAAAGACTGTTTTACAGGGAGTAGGAAGTGAAAATGAAGAAAATGCAACAAAACGTAATGATGACCTCTTTGGAGTACGACCCTGGGTAATATGGACTGTAGACTCACTTATGTGGATGGATTCCAGAAGCTCGTAACAGAAGGGAACGGAACAGGACACATGATGAAATTTGTCACCCTGGAAAACAAGGCAGGCTAGATCGTTCCATTTCGAATAACGACAGTAGTTGTGCCTGCTGTCCACGGGATCCGGGAACAATTGTAGGCTCATGTCTCTTAGGTAATTATGATTGCTGTAATTCAACCATGGATCACAGGGCATCCCCTCAGAGGTCACGTTCATCTTCCCCATGTAATCCAACCCCAAGCTCGTCATCGCGCACTCAAGAGGAACTAGTGAGATCATTCAACATCGTTTAAATACTCACCACCTCCAGCGTGGAGTTCAAAAATCATTAAGCTCAAGAAGGTATATAGTTTTCGCAAAATTTGGGAAACTACAATTCTATACTATATCAGACTTCCATGCGTGCATGAAATGCAATTTAGATTAACTAGAGCACGATCACGATTAGATAGGTAACACCCGAGGGTGGTAACGACAGGACAATTCTTGAGCGACAGAGTTTTCCATTCGAGAAACCCACCCCGGTCTTTGCAGAAGGGTATGTCGCAGTACTCCCATTCGATGGCAGGAGGCCTTGACACGAAACACCACGGCCGCTGGCCCCATCCAGGATTTCGACAGAAATTCACATAGAAATTGGGATCATTATCAGGGAAGAAATACTTGAATTCAAGCTTGAAATTGTTCGTTAACGGGAGGATCTTGAGCATTGGTTCTGGGTATTTAGTGATACTCCAGAAGTCAAGCCATTTCATGCATGGTTTTCCCGTTTCACTCATCCTGATCATGCCCATGTATTCCTTCCCCATTTTCGTGATCCGGCAATTTGGAAAATTCGCATTTGTCTCGTGATTCTCATCTGCAAAAGAGAAAACAATCCGTGTTGGGTTTCACCTTGAAAGTTAGCTTCGTTGAAATCCACGCAGAGTCTCATACCATCTTGCAAATGGCATGAGGCTTCGTGCATATTACGACAGGACAAGGAAAAAGTCCACAAACTGGTAACTGTACCATGTAGAACTTTCTTAATGGTTAGACTTTTCTTCGATTGCGAAGCACCAACTTAGGTATGTGAAAATCCTGAGATGACGTATCTCTGATATTTACCAGAGAGTCCGCTTAGGGTTAACAAGTACCTCGAAAATACGCACTCTGCCTCCCACTTTCACTCCTGCGGTCGAATCTCCAGACCAAAATTCCTTCCATGTTGTCTATCGTTCAAAATATTTGGAGGGATAGGAAAGAGGCACCAGTTTGTAGACCGGCGCCTATTTGTGGACAATTTCGTTGTTTTTACCGTTTCACAAAGTTCACGCCGAATATTTATTTCCTCAAATGCTTCATATTTTTTATGTGCCTGACAGCTACTCTATCAATATTGCATACCCGTCAGCATGAATGAACTTGGACATTTTCGCTTTTTTTTAGTACCCCTGAATTCCTTAAATTTTCCATTGATATTTCTTAACAGGATATCATTGAAGATGAATAAAACTACTGTTCATATGTCATGCCCATGTCTTTATATTCGGCCTATATTCAACGTTCATTATTGTTGCCAAAACTGCTGTCCGCAAACTGGAATCAGGCCATCCACGTATAAGAACCATGTGAAAATCAAAACATATCCATTAAAACAGTTATCGTTCGAAAGTATATATTTTATATTTTATTTTAGGGTATGGGTATTAAACGTTACCATACGTGGCCTCCCATTGAAACCAATCAAGAGGTTTCGTTTCGCCAACGACTGTAATACACTTTTCAAGAGGAAAATTCTGATCCTACAATTTTATTATAAAACCTCGAGAAACCTCACTGACCAGTTTCTTTTTCCTGAAGATGACAAAAACGAACGTCGCAGTAGTGCCATCCAACTTCCTGATCTTTTCGACTTTTCCCATCGTAGCACCAAGGACCCCCTAGACGACCCCCAGGATTTCTGCAATAATTGTGCTTTTCATCCACCTCATCTGAGAATGCAAGGGTTCTCTTCGCCCATGATCGATATTGAGATGTCAGAGGAACACTCAGCCAAGGCAGGCATTTTATGCCGTCTAGGGTCGTGTTCTCTTTTCCCATGTATTCTGCTCCCTTCTGTGTCAGTTTGCACTCCAGTGGATCTAGAAACAGCACGCTCATATCAATCCACATGTAAATTCGACCGGGTTGTCGATCTTCCATCAAAAGGAAAATATTTTTGATTGGCATATACAGAATGAAAGAAAAAGTAAACATTAAGTCATACTGAAAAATGCCGATGACCAACTGTCTCAGTTCCAGGAAGTGGATCGACTATATTCTTAGCCATAAGTTGGCACTCGCAAGACTACGATTTGGTATAGGCTGTATGGAATGGATATGGTCATAGGCCAGGGTTTCAGGCCATTTAAGGTCAAATCATAACCTCTCTCTTTAAAGCTTTGTTTGATTCACTTCTTGCAGAGGACTTCCTAATTTTCATTGCAATCCGATTCCATTTCTTCTCCGAATGTCCTAGACACAGATAATTTTGTGAAGCGAGAAACACCTTTTTATTTGGATATTCACTCTTCTATTCTTAGCAAAATAATACACAATCTCAATACGAGCTAGTCTTTCAATGTTAGGTATACATATTATCGGGATAAAAGCTATCAAGCGCGCGTGATCTCTATGAGGTTTCATGAAAGAGGCAAGTCGCGCAAGTGAAAAAAAGGAATACGTCGATCACTCACGTAAGTCCTCGCAGAGAGGAATGTCACAATATTCCCATTGGACGGCTCGATCCGAGACGAAACACCAAGGCCTCTCCCTCAATGCTGGATTCCGGCAATAGTTTTCGGACAGTTCTGCGTCTTCGTTAAAGAAATGCTCATTGTAGCGCATTTCCAGAGAAAAATCCTTGGGTTTCTCGTACGGCTGTCGATCCCATCGGATGCAGTCCTTTCCGGTCTCGGTCTTCTTCTTTCTACCTATATATTCTTTCCCTTTCTCCGTCTTACGACAATCTGGATAATCTGGCGGAGCAGATGGATAGACAATACACACTATCGCGGAGGAAAAGGATCATCGTATCCTCCATGATGTTCTTTATATACCGTGCAGTATAATGAGAACTTCAACTAAATACGTGTGTACATGTGAACCAAGCTCGTGAATAGATTTAGAGTGGGAAGAATTGTTTCTCACAATTATTCTCTACACTTTGATGAAATGTTGATCTAAATCACACATTATTCCATTGTGAAAGAAACAGGTAGAAACGAATAAAGCATGCGCTTCCCCAACAAAAACTGTCACAATAAGAGTTTAGTTTATCTCTTCAAGCCCTTATGTGAATAAATGCTGTGAAATCACTCATGACTGGATTGATATGCTGGGACAAATGGTTCAAATCAGGCATTGTCATTCTGATAAAACGCAAGGACTTTGTGTATAATCCATCCCTGGAGAATCTGGACTATAGCAGATATCCATGTGGGAGAACTAGGTGAGCCTAATGACATAAAAAGTTCACTGGCTGGGGAGAAGAGGAGGAATTAGAGGAGACTTCTAACCTGGTTTTGGACAAGACACACGACCGACAACAAACGAGGTGCACCATGTATCAGGGGTGTCAGAACAAATGGTCCAATGGTCCATCTTCCCATCTGTGAAGCCCTTCTCGCAGTGGAATAGCACCTTGGCCCCATTAAGGGCTGGGTATCTTCCATCCCATCCGACGTATGTCACATTCGCATTCTCCACCATCGGGTGCTCCGTCAGGCATAAGTCTGCGCAGTCAAAATAGATCTCGAATTTTTCCATTTGTATTATTATTAATTTTATTCTTCTTTTTTTTTTTTTTACGGGCCTCGACGGTCCTGTAAGAGGTCAAAGGGGCAGGTCACTGTTTCCCGAAGCCCATGGCTGGCTGGTTCTCCACGTCGGTCGAGATGAGGGTAGCTCTTTCGACACGTTTGGCGAGGTTACTCTGGGGCAGGCAAACGGAGAGATTACGGAATTTCTATCGATGATGACCTCAAGTTTTCCTCGCACGCGCAAGCGACTGTGGCCAAATGCAACAGGCTTCTAGGTTACATTCGGCGTTCGGTTGCAAGTATGACTTCGCTCGTTATAGTCGCAGAAGAGGCAGCCACTACGTCGTCATCTAAAGCATTCCACATGTTCACCACTCTGCAAGTAAAGAATTTTTGTCTCGACCTGAGCCGCACCTGCGATTTACCCAGCTTTACTTGATTCCCTCTCGTTTTCTTGCTACCATCGAACTGGAAGAACCTAACCCTTAAGAAAATGTCTTATAGGATTCCTATATATTCCTAAAGGAATATATAGGAATCCTATTGGAACCTAAAGGAATCCTATAGGATCCTATATGCCCCATAGAGTTCAGTTTGGGACCTATAGAGTTCCCTATAGAACTTATAGATCCCCCTATAGAACCTATAGAGTTTCCTATAGAACCTATAGATCCCCCTATAGAACCNAAATATGCCCTTATTCCTTTCGAAAACCACGTACGAAACTGAGTAGACTCTATCCAAAAGGAGTTATAGTAAAGAGACGTGATAGCAGGTTTTGTCTTCTGTTTCTTGAGGTCGAGAGAAGAATACTACTTCTTCCTACCGAAGGAAGTGGACGTGCAATCCAGCGGAATATGTGCGACAGGGTCATAGATTATGCATATCCCCGCATTACTGGTATTAATAATGCATGTGTCCCTACCATAGAATAACCCCTTATCGGTTTTTGATTTACACCGAAATGCTGCGCCATTATTAACCACGGTCGCCTTTTCCGTCGTCATGTCTGGGTTTCGAAACCAAAATATCCTCCCCGAATCCTATAGGTCAGGAGACCTATAAGACCCCATAGGGATCCTATAGGATCCTAAAGGATCCTGTAGGTTATTCGTGTTTCAAAAACCTATAGGAAAGTCTTTAGGTTTCCTATAAGAAATATCTATAGGTTTCCTATAGGACATTTCCGTAAGGGAACACACTCGACATTATCTATTCCTTTAATTACCTTGAAAACCTTACCTCAAATGCCTGAAATGGCGGATATGGACACATATGAAAAAGGGTTAAGGAGGAGAAAATGACCATGAAACGCTACGTTAGTGATACGTTTTCCCTAATTCTGATGGATATGGACAATGACAGATGACAGGTATGCAGAGTGCATACCTGTCAGAACAGAACAGGCTGAGAACAGAATACCACAAAATGTATAATAGCATTTTTCCGTGATTTCTGTCAAATTTGTTCCTTAGCACAGTAAATTTTTCTTGCATTTCTTCATCATATGCATATTCACCCAAATGCACCGAAAATAGAAATTGTCACTGTCGCTCTTTTCGAATTCATGAAATGGATCTTTCGAAACCGAAATGAATTGTGTTTTGAGTATTTTCCATGATTTCCATGTCTTATTCTGAGAGGAGCTTTTTTCGGACCGGAGATGCATAGTTTAACCGCCAATGGCAAATGAAGCAATAATTCACGGCTTGAATTCGCTCCTTTCCCTGACCCAGGTTGGCATGGGTGATTCAAAACTCGTCCACAAGCCTAAGGAATAAAGTCTTTTTAATTAGTTCATTTGCTGCGAGACGTAACAAGGAGACTCCTGGCAATTTTTGCACATTGCATGGTGAGAGAGTGGTTCCCATTGTCAAGTTACTGTTCCTTCCCTCACGCTGCCTATGGCGATGGGGAAAATAATGTTTTGCTAGAAAGATAAGGATTGAAAGTGGGGAAATTCGGCTCAATAATACTTCACTTTCCATCCAACTACTACTCTCCTTGTTCCTCCAAGGAATATGAGAGGAGTTTGTCAATAGGCAGAAAATGCTCCTTTCCTAAACCGTAAATATTCATGATAATGCAAATTTACGCTCCATAGCTACCTAGGGATTACTGTCGCTCCACCCCTCAATGGTCATCCAAAAGCTTTCCCAAAGGGAATCTCAAATGGAACCAAAGAGATGGACATCCAATGGATATGTCCAAGGATTTTCCTTGGACAAGACATTTAGTCATCCAGGGGATCTCCGAGGAGGATATACATTGGATGTCCAAGTGTCCATGAGGGTATGACCAATGGGTTTATTTTGGATCGAAATTGCTACTTAGAGTGTGAAAGGAGAGGAAAAGTTGAGTTATTTGTCTCGCTCCCTTCTCTGAACAAAAAAAACAAACAAACGCTTTCTCCTGGGTGGGTACACTATTAAGGAAGGCAGGGACCGTGAAGAATATTCAAGTTCTTCCCAACAATGTAAATTTGGCTCTATTAAAATTGAAGAGCATTGCTCTCCTACATGTCTCACGTCGTGCGGAGAGAGCGCGTAATTTTGAAACTCACCTTTCTTTGAACACCGTAACCTGTTCAGTCAATAACTACATGGATGGGGTATAGAAATGTGAAATTTAAACCGTCCATTGTTTAGTTCTATCGCAAATGGAAATCTTAGGTACCGTCACGCTAACTCCAGGGACGTCCGATGCAGTGAATGGAGAAAATATGTCAGTTGGACGATGCCGATCATGAGTGAATTAAGAGCGTAATTCATGTCCAGATGACAAATTAGACAATAAGACAAGTGCAGATGGGAAGCCAACAAAAATGATACTAACTCTGAACATAAGCTTGATATCCTTCAAACGGGATGAGCGAGCTACTGTCGCTCACAATCAGCTCACAGGATCCATCAGAACTTCGATAGTTGTAGGCCTTGCATGGTTTCGGTCGCTGGCTCGAGCATAAGATGTTACAGTCTCCCATCTGCCGAGTGGTGACTCTCCGAGACATGTTTCCATACCTTTGACCTGGGTGAGCGGTGTAGTACCTGAGGAAGCCACCTTGCGTCTTCACAGAAAGTAGGAAGACGATGAACAAGCGAATCCTGCCGAGACGCTTCATCTTGGCCGACTGAAGGTTTTTCGCTTTTCCTCTCGATTTTATTCGACGTCCTAAGACTGGCGTGAGAGATCACGGGATCGATTGCAGCCAATGCGGTAGAGGTCCTCTGTTAAGGACGACTGCTATTGGAGTTTTCCCTCCCCTGCATATGTTCAAAGCGTACCCAATCTCCATCGAGGATCGACCTGCTAGGCTCACAATGCTTCATTCGATATGGTCTCACCTATGACGTCAAACTTCCTGGAAGGAGAAAATAATGTGGATTTCCATCGGGATGCAGGGCGTCCCCTTACGGAAATGTCCTATAGGAAACCTGTATATATTTATTATACGAAACCTATAGACTTTCCTATAGTTTTCTGAAACACGAAAAACCTATATAAGCTTATAGGATCCATATAGGGTTGCATAAGACTCCTGACTTATATGATTCGGGGAGGCTTTTTGGGTTTCGAAACCCTGGCATTAAAACGGGAATGGCCACTGGAGTAAATATTGGGCAGCATATTGGTGTAAATTAGTTACCGAATAGAGGTTTTTCCATGGTAGGGGCATTTGCATTTCTAATACAAGTAGTACCTACGCCTGTATAATTTATTGTCCACATATGTCGCTGGAATGTGCAGGATAGCGCGTCCACTTCCTTCGGTAGTGAGAAGAATCATTCTTCTCTCGGCCAAAAGAAATGGCAGACAGAACCTGCGAGCACGGTCTCTTTACTGGAACTCCTTCCGGATTAAATCCATATAATTTTTGAAAGAATAGGAACTAATGAGGAATTGGCCCCTATGCCTAATGGTGAGTACATCAGGGGTCCCGCCAGTCCCAGTGAAACCCTTCTGCGAGAGGGTTGGCAGGTGCAAGACTCGTCGAAGGCGATTTAGACAATGGGAATGGTCCCATTGTCTAAATCACCTTACCCATTGTCCCTGTCAGAGACCAAGGTTTCTCCCGTCTGTTTTACGGATTACTCACTAATTAGGATAGTTGCAATAGCAGCCTAGAAAAAGATCAGACCTATTCGTTAATTTAAAAAAAAATGAAAACATGTGGGGCTATTTTAAGCCCACTTTTAATGATGATTAAATCCTTTTCATTTAATAATGGATTTACATAAGTTTCAGGTACCTATCAGGTACCCTGTGAGCTGCTTCGGATTGACAGATGCCAGATGTTACGAAAACATTATAGATCACCGAGTGTGTTAGCGATATAATCTTCCCAACTGGCGATTCGACGGCGTATGCTGAAGATGGGATATTCAGCTCTGAACACTCGTCGTCGTCCTTTGTGCTTTCTGTCGTATGTTGTCAGGTATTCGTGTACGTCCTCAGAGCAAGTGTTCTTCTCATAGAAGGAGAGAGCTAGTTCTGAGGCGTACACGTCAAGAGGTGTAAGCCCCCTGACCCTATAGATGTAATCAGATGGGTAGTGGCGTGGGATTCCGTAAGCGAACTTAATCGCAGCTCGTTCTATGCATGCAAGTGTGTCCAAGGTGGAGTCGGGGACATTGACCCAGGCCGCAAATCCATACGTTAAAACAGGACGGACGTAAGCCTTATACAGACGCATGATGACGTTGAGTTAACAACTGTTGACACGCTTGAGCAATTTCAGACAATTCCATTTACGAATTGCCTTTTGACGCAGCATCTGCACGTGGGGGGAAACAGCGGAGGTGTTTGTCGAGAGTGATACCTGGAAATTTGCAGGTGGAAGCAGCGGGAATGAGGTCCTCCTTCATCCAAAGCCTAAAGTTGTAGGGGTCTCGGGATAGACTTCTGGGCACGTAAAGGTATGAGGATTTGGAAGGATTCATGGAAATCCTCCAATCCTTACTGTAGGATGAAAGAGCGTCGAGGACAAGTTGGGCGTCCTTTTCTAGCTTGACTTCATTTATTCTCGTGAGCCATATGGTTGTATCATCTGCATATTGGCTAACATATGCATATGATGGTATGTGTCGAGGTAAGTCGTTGACATACGCAAGAAAAAAGCAGACGGTGTCAAGACTGATCCTTGTGATACTCCAGCTGTAGCGGTGTAAGAACTAGACATCTGGTTGTTGGCTCGAACCTGGAATGTGTTACGTGTAAGATAGGATGTTATCCACCTGAGGACTGGAGCCGGGATGAAGAGTTGATGGTGGAGCTTGTAGAGCAGGCCCTGATGCCAAACCTTGTCGAACGCCTTGGTGACGTCGAAAAAGAGGACTAAGAAATATATTCCTTTGTGTGTGGTGTGTAACGCTCTGTGTCAGCCGTGTTAGCTGTTCTACGGCTGATTTTCGGCGAATGCCAGCTTGAGCTGGATTCAAGAGGTTCTTGTCCTCTGGGTAGGACGTTATCCTTGTCGTTAGGATCTTCTCCTATAGTTATATATAGTCTCCTGTATAGTTTACCTATACAGCTCCAAAAGCTGATAGGTCGAATTGAAGATGGGTCTGTGGGATCCTTTCCTGGTTTCGGAATCATTGTTACGATTGCCGATTTCCAGGGAGGTGGGATATGGGAGACATCTAGGCTGGCATTGTATAGATCGCATAGTCGGTTAATTAGTTTGCCCGAGCCGTGCTTCAGGGACGAGAAAAAAACTTCATCGATCCCTAGGGCTTTGTTAGCCATAAGTTGAAGAATATTGCAGATCTCTTTAGGGTCTATAGGTCGTCAGATGTTGTCGGTGTCTGGATGGGAGTGGACGTTGTCGGGAGAGAAGGCAGTGATCTCATCCTGCAGATAGGCTTTGGGAGAGAATTGACTGTGAAGGCGGGAAGGTGTAGTCATGGCAGAAGCTAATGATTCGCCAAAGACTTCCGCTTTGCCCTCATCAGTGATGACGACTCTTATTCCAGTCTTCAGTGGTTTGGTGGTAGCTGATGATGAGGGTTTGCCGACACGTTGGAAGAATTTCCAAGAGTCTTTGGGATCTGTCTCCTGGTTTAGACTGGAGCAATATGTGTCCCAGTAAGTTTCCTGATCAAGTGCAAGTAACTCCTCGATTTCCTTGTTAAGGCCATTGATGATGGGCCTGATTTCGGGGTAACCGTAACGGTGGTAGATTCGACGAAGACGTCGGCGTTCACGTATCTTGTTCAGTGTAGCAGTAGAGTTGGAGTAAGGACGTCCAAGGCGACTAGCATCCTTCGGGACGGCGAGGTCTTGTGCGATGTAAATCGCTTCTGCTGCGATGGTTGCAGAGTCGTCCAGGTGTGAGGAAGTTCCTAGGGCCAGCGTTTCTGGGAGGAGCGAATCTAGGATATCGTGAAATTCCACCCAGTCCGCATTTTTGAAGTCATATACCTCCCTCACAAAGTTGGATCGAGAGGGGGCGAGGATGTCGAGCGTGACATGGATTTGGAGGTGATCGCTGCCGAGATCTGCCCCCAGCCTAAAGGAGGGGAAGAGGTCGAGCAAAGTGAGGTTCCCAATTGCGAGATCCAGTCTGGATGAAGCTCCCGTACGATCATTGTGATAGGTATGGGAGTTGCCACTCAGAATCTGAAAGTCTGAGTTGAGTTTGTAATTGGTTTGTGTAATTGGGTGGATCTCCGAAATCTGGATGGTGGGCGTTTAGATCTCCAATGAGCAGGGTGGGACCATGGAGGTCATTGATAAAATCCAGGTCTCCTAAGGAGGGAGTTGAATCATGGTGGTAGGATGGAAAATAGCCATGCACGATGTTAATGTGCCGCCGTGGAAATTTGACCCGCACAGCTATGACTTCGATGCCATTATTCCACACGTGATCTATGAGCATGGAATGTAGGGAGGAGTACACATAAACAGCAGAGCCTCTCTGGTATGCCATTGATGGAAATGTTGGCTTATAACTGTAAAATGCACGAATACGGGGTCTAGATTTCATGTTCAACTCCCTGAGGTATATGACTAGAGGTGTTGTTTCATCTATATAAAGGAGGGTCTCCGCTCTCTTATTCTTGGATCCTTGCAGATTAGCATGCAGAATTTAGAGAATTAGAGAAAGCTGAAATTTGCCATGCACAATTAATTCTCTAGGAGCAGACAAGAGATAGGCACACCTACCTTGCTTCGTGCGGACGCGATTAAATGCGGTCCACTGACACATTTGGAGAGAGAAACCAGTTACTTTCTCTGTTGGATCGTCAACGAACGATTCGTTCGGGACGTCGCAGTCGGTCCAGGACTCTCGTCAACAAGCGTTGGCGTCCTTCCCGCTTGCCTCAATCGTCGAGGCGTGAGTCCAGAACGGTTTCCTAAATCTCAGGCGTGTCTTTGCTGTCGACTTGAGGTCTTGGCATGACAGGCAGGTCCGGGATTCCCATGACCGTATTGTACTCCCGGGCAGAGGCTACATCTCGCCTGATGTTCCCTGACGTAATGTTTGCCAACACCAGCAACAACGGGGGGGGGACGTTTATTTCGGTGCGCCGTTGACCAAACTAATTTCGGTATCGACAAGGTTTGTACTATTGCACCAGATTGGTGCACCATACTCGGGCGCGCTGACAAGAACGGAGCTTGAATAGACATCCGAAGCATTTGGGCGTCGCATCCCGAGATTGTTCAGGCAAATTACTGGATGAAGTCCACTCTCGTCTTCGTTTTCTTTTCGGTTTGGTCAAGATCTCATCAGGTAGCCGAGTGTGCTGTCCATTGTGACACCGAGGGACCGCGGTTGATGGTCGAGCGTAAGCGGCGCACCACTGAAGCTGACGTTTAGCTCCTTTCTCGCCTCGGAATTGTTTAGGTGGAATGCGGAGAGAGATGTTTCCGGGGCATTAGGTCTCAGACACCACGACACGGAAATATATCTCGGTATGAGGTTCCTCTCTGTGGCTTCCAACGACGGCGCTTCTGCTGTCAGGGCTATATCATCCGCGTAAATGAATTTACGTGATGATGTGGGTGGGATATCGCTCGTGTAGACACTGAACAGTAATGATAACCAGACATCGTGTAACTCTCTGTGAATCGGCTCATAAAGCAGAATATGATAGCAGGGCTATCATATCCGGCAAG